GTCTGCCAATACACCCAGATTTTCATGCGGGTGCTGGAGAGTTGATTCAGGTCCTTTTGCTCATTATTAACTGAGCTAGCCTCCTAGCCCTACTTTGACTATTTTGACTTAGAATTTTACACAAATGAATAATATCAATACCTGAGGACACTGGATTTGTCTGAATGTTCAATTACCTCTAAATATTCAAATATTTTACAAATGTAAATAATAAGGGGAGGTTGAGTAGAAACTTAATTTTTTTTTAATGGAAAGTCAATTTTTTTCTCAATAAATTTTCTGGGAGTTCTAAATCATTATTCACTGAAGAAAAGGACACACACACATATATTATATTCTTTGGATATGTGTATCCTACTGATTCCCAGAAAATAATTAACATGGCACATTTATCATATAAAACTGGTTTAAAAATAAATGTTCTCCAAATAAATATGCTATTTTAATATCATTGCTTTTTATTCTGAATGGGGTGAGAGAAGATAAAATCTCAGTTTTATAATTTACTAGGTCAAATTATGTGAAACTGTAGGTTCTTTAGGTCAAACACAATTGAAATCAGAAATTCACTATTGTCAATACTGTGTTCAATTTCAAATTATTCTGAGAGAGAATGTGAAAGGAACAGAAATAAAGGAGTAGAGCGGCTGAAGGATTCTGGCGGCCCCCGAGACTCCCTGGCAGACTTTACCCTCAGAGCAGCAGCATCACTGTCACTGGCATCAAGGTCCCTGAGCTGTAGAGGACATGAAGTGGCCTGTGTAAGGTCAGACAGCAAGAAGCAGAGCCGTTCTCTTTGCCAGGGCTTCCGTGAGCTCTCAGTAGTCCTACCCACATCCACTTTCCTAAGGCCATCAACTCACACACATGATTTCATCATCAACTGAGAGGATCCTCCCGCAATTGCTTTATATTGACACCAGAGAGTTCCATGAATAAAGGAAGCAGTACTACTGCCTTTGATGGCCTGGAAGAGTCATGAGCTCCCCTTTGCATTAGGTATGTTTTTCTTTTTTAAGTTTTGTTCATGACTTTCAGGTACTACTTTAGGATGCTTCTCACAAATCGTGTTTCCTCTTGTTGTCTGTCAAGTGCGTCTGGATCTTTGGCATGTGGCTATCATCTTTTCTTTCCACCTCACCAGGCATTATTTAGCTTTTATCTAGGAGTTGATACGTTTATATTTTCAATTCCTTATTAAGGGATAGTTCTTTCTATCTGAGTTGATTTAAAAATTGTTATTTCCAAAATTTCACATTCTAGAGTTCTTTCTTTTGCCATATCGCTTAATTTAATCCTTTTAAAAACATACTCAATTTCATTTTTTTTCTTTTTCATTATGTGACCTGAAAAATATTCAGAAGGTGGTGCAACTCTAATCAGCAGGATTCAAATCATGTTCTGGCTCAATGATTGAATGGATGCTTAGCATGTGTGTGAGGCCCTGGATTTAATCCTCAACATCAAACATAAACAAGTATAAGAAAGATTTTAAATACCAAAATGATGGTCAATGTTACAGAAGGACTTCAGGAGACATTTCTAAATGTATTTTGTTGCCACACTGAGAATTCACATAATTTTCAGTTACTAATTATAATACAGAATTAAAATCTTTAGACACAAGAAAAAAAAGGACATGATATAATTTAGAAGAAATTACCCCCAGACTAAAAGCTAGCAAGTTGTACTTAGGTAGAAATGCATGCTGTGTCTGTCTTATTTATTCATTTGTTTATTAATCAGATATTGTCTTGCATATTCTGCACTGCAAGTCAATATGAAGTATCCACAAAATTAATGTACAAAAGTAAGTTTTACTGTTCATTTGTTATGCAAATTGAGTCTCCTTTCTGAAGGTCAAACCCTATTTGTTGAAAGCAGAAGGAGTTGAAGAAATTTCCATTAAGATAAATAAAAATATAGGCAAGGGCTATAAGATGAGCATTCAATTAGAACTCACACACAAGCACACACTCACTCCGAAGGCTGCTGAAATATCAAGTCATCAATTCTCCATTAAAAACAAGCCCTGATTATAAGCTTTCCAATCATTTAAAGATGTGAAAGCCTGTCTGCAGTTGAGCCCTGTTCAAAGCCAGAACAGAAATCATTTCTTCTTCTTCCAACTCAAAGTATGTTTAGGAGACGGACATCTGATAGAAGTGGCTGTGCCAGTCTAACCAACTCTAAATACAAAACGCTTCTAGCAACATTTGGATACATATAATTTGACGAAAAGTTTTGTAAACTGAAGCTTTGAAAAAATAGAAACTATAAGCTCCAACAAAAAGCTTAATATGTAATTGAAAGAAAATAATATTTTGTAGAAAAAAGTTGCCCCTCCAAAAAGAGACAAAAATGACTAACTTTTATTTCCCAAGAGAATTATGCTACTTTTATACAACAAAATTACAGCCGCCACAAATTGCTTTCAACAATTCCATCGCTTCTTCATTTGACCACTTGAAAATCAAGATTCTTTCAGATTATAAATATAACTTTTTATAACTCTGTTATTACGTACTGTGAATGGGGAAAGAGGGCCAATCTTGTGGCCATAGCGTCGAATGGCTTCTCTGATGTGGCAGGGCTGGATGGCATCGCTGTGAGCCTCAACACCACAGGCCGCAGTGCTCTGGGACAGAAAAACACATAAATTGTTACTAAATCAAAAACACACAACAGACTACAGTGTATAAAATATGAAAATAAACCTTTATAGAATGGGCCATTTTCCCCTTAGGACGCACATCACTGCTGCCATATACTACATCTAAAAAGAAAGTTCCATTAACAAATCAAAGATGACTTTTCCATGACCCCATTCGAGCAGACCTACCAAATGCAGTTTTTATGCCTTCAATATTTCACCCAAGCCTGCATGTCAGGTAGGAGCGTACAGCCACTTGTGTGCCGGCGAAAAGTGTCACAGGGGCTTGTTGAAAGACCCACAGGAAGCTCTTTTCAAAAAAAAAGTTTATAATGTTTCTTGGGAGGCTCTTGGGCTTATTTCTGAAATGACTTGAGCCATGAATTAAAATGAAGAAATGTAAAATGGCCATATGTTTGTCATATTGGGGACTGTCTTAGAAGACTGTTTAATTTGATTCCTAATATTTAGGTGTCCTTATGATAAAGTAAAATAAAACCTTCTTATTTTATCTCATATACGAAAGCTATATTTGAAATGACAAAAAAGACATAAGAAAGATTATGTGCAAGGAGAGCATGAGTACAAACTCAAGAAATTATATATATGTATGTATACACATGTATATGTGCATATACACACAGTATATATGTGTATATATGTATGTGTATGATACAACTTCAAACAATTAAAATTCTCTTTAAACTCTCAGTTCATTAAAAGGAGGCAGTGAACTGTCCTAGTCAGGTCTGCAAGTTCAGCCTTGGGCTCAGCGACCTTGGGTCCAGATCGGAGCTCATCTATTACCAGTCCTGTCAATATCTCTGGGCCTTGCATTTATTTTTTTTTAACTTGTAAATTAGGATAATAATTCTAAGTACTTCACAGGCTAGCTGTGAAAATAAATGATTTGAAATATACAAAGCACTTAGAGTTATAGTGACATGCTATAATGCTATTGCTGGGATCAGATTATTATTTAAGGATCAAAAATGGGATCAGCACTTACTCGACCCAATAAGCCAACTAAAAGCACAGTGGGCACCAGATGTCAGTTCATCAACTGTATTGATAGATAAAGAACTACTCCGCCTATATGCTATTGTAATTATGTTCTAGAACCCACTCAGTCACCCAATTAGCATCATTTGCTTTCCTGAGCCTACAGTTACTGCAGTTGTTCTGATAACTGTCACAAGTCTGACATCATGGTTACCCATAGGGAATATAATTCTGCATGAAGAACCTCTTGGATAACAGTTTTAGACAATTTCATCAAAATGACAGACTCTCTGACTCAGCAATTTTTCATTGAAGAATTTTCCTAATGATACATTTCATAAATATACACATGAATAGTTAATACAGTACTATTTGGATTGACAACTAAATGCTTACCAGTAGGACTGGGCAAATAAATTATAATACAGTCATTGAAAAAAACAGAAAAGATGACACCCATTATGGGCCCTTCTGGGATGATTCTTACAGTGTGATTCCTAAGATACATCATCTAAAAAAGACAAGGCACTCAATCACCCAGCACTGTGTTACTGGTTATTGAAAAGAAAGACTAAGCCAGGTGGCAGTGGTACACATCTTAATACCTTAACCCCAGCACTCGGGAGGCAGAGGCAGGAGGATCTCGGAGTTCCAGGTCAGCTGGGTCTACAAAATGAGTTCCAGAACAGCCACAAACAAATGTTGCTTATCCATTTAAACATGAACTGTCTCTATGAGGGTTAGTGAATAAAGTAACAGGGCTCTCGAGCAGGCTAAGTGGCTGGCTAGAAGACAGGAGCCAGAGGAAGACTTACTTTTCATGATATTCTTTCCTGAACTTTGAAAATACACTTTCAGTCTATGTACAAATGAGTAAAACAATGGAAATCCCTACCAAACGAGAATATCTGCTAGTTAGCCACGCTGAACCTAAAGGAAGACTTACAGCATAAAACAAACCAGCTCTTGATTATTTTTCTATAACAAGTGTTGAAATAAGCCAAATCAGAACTCATGGAGGATCTTTCTCTACCTCTCCTGTGCCCACATCAACATGGATTAAGTTATCTTAACCTTCACTTTGGCAATGATGAAAAAGTATACATTGTTTCTGAGTGCTCTCTCAAGTCTTAGTCCATTTCATTTCACCCTTGGAAGGAACACATATGAATAAAATGCAACCATCAGGTCCCCAGATGTGGGCGAAGTCTCTTCAGTGTGTCCATCTTACTCTGTGACTTGCACACCTGCCTTTATAGTTGATGGCTGTCAAGGAGGTGGCAGGATCCTCTTCACTAGTGGACATGTATGGAGTAGTAAGCTGAATTTAGAATCTAAAGAGAAACTCTTCTGGAAGGAACCCAAGAGGAAGTGAAGAAGACGACACCAAGGTCAGTATCCTATGAACAATATGAAGTTCTAAGCCCTTCCTATATGTACAATTCCTCTTTGGAATTCCCCTAAATTCATCGTTTTCTCCTTGCAAATTGTATTTAATTAGTTTTAATTTCTCAACTCAAGGCAAAGATAAGACTTCTGCTAAGTTTGTCAATAGATTTGATTATGTTTGTAGAAGGTTTTGCCCCAAATCTCTTAGCTTTGTAATGGCAATCTGATAGGATCTGGGAAAACTGAAGTAGCAGATTATCTGGTCTGAATCTACCTGTCCTCTCCAGATTCCCACATTGAGATCTTAATGTCCAAGGGCTTTAGGAGGTGATACAATTATGAGGGCAGACCCTCACTCTTACTCCCATGTGAGGCTAGATGACTTTATGCATGAAATTATATGCAGACATTCACTAACCAGTGAATTTGCCAGCATCTTAACTTTGGACTCCCTAGTTTTTGGAATGTGAGAAACAAATTTCTTGTTGGTAAATCACATAATTTATAGCATTTTACTGAAGTAACCTGAATGGATTATGGTAGAATAATAAACTAGAAATGACCTCTGCTTGTTAGTTTTTTAAAAAAAGATTTAGTAATTTTCATTTTACTTGTATAGGTGTTTTGCTTGCCTATATATCTGTGCATCACAAGCGTGCAGAGCCAGCAGAGGCTACAAGAAGCATTGGATCCCCTGGAACTGGAGTAGCAGAGGGCTGTTATCTGCTATGTACTCTGCAAGACTAGCCAGTGCTCTTGCATACTGAGCCATCTCCAGCCCTTCTGATTGCAAATATGGAGACAAGACACACCAGGAGACACATCGTTTTAAAAAATGAAGTTAACTTCACCTTTATAAAAGTTAAATACATATATTTTTTTGTGAAAATGAGATTGAATTTTCCATTTTGCCAAGTTCATACTCATCTGCCACTATTAGTAACTGCTAGCACTAACATGAGTGAAGTTGCCATGGACACTTCTACATTTTCTTGATTTGTCCACCAAGTTCACAGAGAGATTTGTAATTTAAAAGTTTATATTACTAGTAATATTTTTAATCTCAACAAATACCTTATGTCAATATTCACTCTCTTATCAAGGTGTTTAAAATATTTTCAAACTAAAGAAATATTCAATATTTAGAAATATTTAGTAGTGATTCTGGTATTTTCAAATCTTCCAAGTGGTTTAGGAAAAATTAACACTAAGAGTATTTGTTCTTTGTTTCCAAGAATTGTATACATACCTCAAATACACAAGGAGTGTTAGATTTAACAATTCATTTTTTTCCATTCTCATTCGTCCCACATTTTAGGTATTGTTTAAAATTTCAAAAGTAAACTCAACATACTTTGACAGACTATAGTGTCCAGTTGCCTACATTAGCAGAAGTGTCTGTGCTCAACACTATGGCTGCCTTTCCTTCGGTGACTTGGTAAAGTTCATATGTCAGTTCCTCTTCCTCTCAGCTGCACACATACTCTAACTGTGTATTTTATTATGTCATGTTTCTTCATCCAGGGACTGATGCCAAACAATGGATGCTCAAGCATCAGACGGAGTCTTCCACATTCCTGAACTGACTCTTGCTTCTGTTGGTCTTTGTTAGTTATTGCACAAAATCTCTTAGCACTTTGAACTCCCAAGGGTGGTAGACAGAAATTATTAATAGATAGAAACTTCTGTTGACCCTGAATTCTAGCCATGTTTACACCTGTTCTGATTCTTTTTCTAAGTTGTAAAAATCTGGACAAGGTAAGGAGTGCCCTATTGTTTCTCAGTCGTCCTCTTACTTAGAATAATTCATGGTTTCAGGACCTTGAATCTCAGACAACTTTTCTTATTCTCTCCCAAAGGTGGATTAGATCTCAGGCTAAGTTTGAAGACTTTTCAAAGAAAGATCCATGGTTCATGGGCCAACTCACTAATATGTGATCTGTATGATGTGGACAGGGGTGCTTTTCCTGCTGCTACTGCGCAGGAGACCCTCTCAGGGCTTCACCCTCCCGAGATCTTGGCCACCAAGGCCAAGGTGGATATATTTTGGCCCAAAGCAAAGTAACTTTTCTCATCTCAGGGGTTAAGGAAGCTGTTAGATTGGTAGTCCTATATAAATATGAAAAGTTAAACTTCAATTCCAGATATTGAACCTGAAAGTTAATCCAGGTAAAGGTAAAAAGGAATCACTGAATTTAAAAATTCAAGTTTTTTAAAAATTAATTAATTAATTATTAATTAATTTTGAGACAGAGTTTCTCTGTGTAACAGCCCTACCTATCCTGGAACTCTGAAGACTAGGATGGCCTGAAACTCACAGATATCTGCTTGCCTCTGCCTCCCAAGTGCTAGGATTAAAGATGTGCACCACCATGCCCAGCCACAAAAGTTCAAATATTTTAAACATCATCTGTTCTTAATGTTTCCAATTTTACCCCATTTAGTAAATAGAAGGAAGACAAGGAATAAGTCAGAGATGGCTAAACATCCATTTTTTTTATTTCTAGTACACAAAACTTAGAATGTATATTAGAGGCTTAATTATTTTATTTGTATTTTATCCACTGTTTTTACCGAAATTACACTGTATGTTTTTATCACATGAGACAATACAGTGAAATATATACACATTATGGAATGTTAAAGGTAGATTAAACAATTTATGCTGCTCCACTATCATTAATTATTGTTGTTACTGTCTTTTGGTGATCATGTAACTTTCACATTTTAAATTATTCAAGAATCTTTAACCAGAGCCAATTTGCTGTAGAAACTGTCTCTTGCAATTTATTCCTCTTATCCAATAGTTCCACATCCCTGAGAGAATGTATTATTTTTCTGTGTAAGGAATTATACAATTATGCAACCGCAACTGAAGTTTTCAGTGAGAAAATGACAAGATAAACAAGTGGCTGACTATAGAAAGTTGTGTATGGATATATGAAAAGAAATAATGATCTTAAAATGAAAAATTATTAATTCTGGTACAAATAATTTCCAATTTAGGAGAAATCAGACATAGAGTAGAAAACCTGGACAGTGAAATACCCCAAATTTAATAGTTTTAATAAGATGAAGAAAGTGTTTAAATTCCTGGAGTTCCCAAACGTATGAAGAATTATTTCACATATGCACAATTATGAGGCTAATCATAACTTATTTTCACATACTCTGGAAAGTATGCAGAGAAGTGTGCAGCCCATGAAAACAATGATATACATTTGCTGATTTAAAATGTACAACAATGGATACCAGAAAACAGAGAAATGGCATAATTTAATTATAATTTAAATACTGAAAGACTATCAACCTAAAATTCCATACTAAGTATCTTTCACACCGCTATAGTTCCGAAGTGACTAGAAATCAGTCTATAAAAACTGAGTGTGCTGGTGCTGGAGAGATGGCTCAGCAGTTAGAGCACTGAATGCTCTTCCTACCCAGGTTAGATTCTCAGCACCCACTGGCCGCTGCGAAGGTCTGTAATTCCAGTTCCTAGGGATCAGTCACCTTCTTCTGGCCTTTGAGGATACTACATGCATATGACACAGACATACATGCAGGCAAAACCCACATATGCATAATTAAAAAAAGAAACCCTAAAGCTGGGCTATGGTGGCACAAACCTTTAATTCCAGCATTTGGGAGGCAGAGACAGGCTGACCTCTATGTGTCTGAGGTCAGCCTGGTCTACAAAATGAGTTTCAGGACAGCCAGGACTGTACCATGGAGAAAAAACAAAACAAAACAATAAAAAAGAAATCCTGAATGTGGCCTCAGCTTATACAATATATTGCATAAATTACTTTGCCCACATTAATAGAACTACATGTAAAACAGAAAGCCTAAAGAAGAAAATGAGAATATCATCATGACCCAGAAGCAGGAAAAGGATAAGTTAGAATTCATCAGAAATTCAACTTAGGTTCATTAAAAGACACTATTAAGGGGATGGTGCAGTTTTTACACACCTGTCCTTTTAGCACTCAAGAGCAGAAGCGTGAGATTATAAAACTGGTATGGGCTATAAAGTGAAACCCTATCTTTCAAAAAGATACCACTGAGCTGATCAAAAGGTAAGACACAAACTGTGAGAAAGCACACGTAAAGTAGCATGCAACAACAGACCTTTTACCTGGCATGTGTACAGAACTCCTACAAATTGGTACTACCTTCTCCCTACATGTATTAATTCCTTACCTGTGAAAAATCCATTAGAATGGTTAAGGTAAAGCCAGTGGTAACAGCAGAAAGGGAGAGATGGGGAGGGAGGATAGGGTGAGGAAGGGGAAGAGAAAGAGAGAGAGAAAGAGAGAGAGAGAGAGAGAGAGAGACAGAGACAGACAGACAGACAGACAGACAGAGATTGAGATTGCAGGATGGTAAAAGATGACAGGATAGATATAATAAATGTTGGCATAGTAAAATGTCCATTGTATTTATAGACTGATAAGTGTAAGCCAATCAAGATTGTAAGCATAGTGTTCACACTAGAATTCTCTTAATGTCTCCTTGAATAAAAGAAAAATATCTTGATTATGCGTACTGTTGGAACACGGTCCAAGAGTGAAGGTGTGTGAGTAGATTTGAGTGCTTGTAAGAAATTCCAAGAAACCAAGACAAGAGTCTTGTGACTTCTGTTTCTTTAAAAACATGGAATTGTTCTTAGATATGCCTTTGTGCCCCCCCCCCAGGTGTAGTGGATAGGAGTGAGTTCACTTCAGATTAGTTACTGCAACTGGCTATTGCTTGTTTATATGCCTTCAAGGAAAAACATGATTTTGCCCTGTGTGGCTTACCCACCACGTGTGACTTGTCCTTGTGATTGGACACTTTACTCATGTGACTCCTCTTGACCCTCAGCTATAAACTGTCTGATGCTTGAATAAAGTTGGCTATTGCATGAGACTTTAGTCCACCTCATTTATGGGTTTCATCTTCCCAGGTCCCACTGCCTCTAGACTGGTGAATAGCACCCAAAAGTTGTTTCAGGTCTGACTAGAGGTCATTGATTGTGGGTTCCTATAAGCTGGCTGCTTCTTAAGCTTTGAGCTGTGAGAAACACACAAACACACGCCACCTTTTCATAACTATAAAAAAACCCCTAAACCCAAATTTTTTTCTCTTCCACTCTCTATCAAAAAAGAAAGGATGAAAGACAAACCAAACCCCAAACACCAAAACAAACAACAACCACCATAACAAAACCCACTGACCTTTTTCCTCTTTCTCTGCTTGCTTTTACTAGAGTCTTGTCCTGTACTGCCATTCCCCAGGGATCCGGATGTGGATCTCCCAGAATGCTGAGATGCAGAAGAGGGAGCTGTTGGTGTAGCAGGCGGTGTGTTCTCAGGAGAGTCTGGACAGGACTTCAAACAGGACCCCTGCACAAAGACATAGCTTTGAGATGAACTGACCAGACCTCCTAGCAATACATTATCTTTACACTTAATACCATTTATAGTTTAAAAATTTATACTTATCTATTCCATAGAAATGGAATAGATGTCTTTCCCCTAAAGTTCTAGCTATAATCATTTTTAATCTAATTATTCAGACAAAAATTCTACATGCACTGCCTCTAAAAAAAATCTGTTAACTTTGCTGGATAACATGGAAAGTTTGCTTGTATTTTAAGTTTACATGTCTCCAAAACAGTCTCTAAACTCTCCCTAGACTGGATGATGGCTTTCAGACACTGTGTGTGTTAGTGGCTACCAGCATTTTCCTCATAGCTCAAAATCATCATTTTAGGATCACCGAGTTTTCCAGTCTGTTCTATATGCAATGTCCTCTTTCCTTTCTTAATATTGCTCTTTTATTTATTTGGACTATAAGCCTGTTATTTATTTCATCTCAAATATTTGAAGAACTGTCCTTTCAGCATCTTCTTTTCTATGGTCAATTACTCTCTAACTTCTTTGAGCCAGTTATCACAGACAGGCTTTTAAGCTCCTCCACAGTTCCCCCTTAATTCCCCTTCACATGGGCTCACTGGGTGAATGACATCCTACAGGATGGAGTTAGGAAACAGGTCCCTGCACTGGCAGGTAAATGCCTGGGGCTGGGGGCAGGTGTGCTCTGACCCTAGAGATAGCCATAAGTCATCTAGGCTATTAACCAGCCTTCTGAGAGGAAAAGAGGTTGCACATTTCTTCCTTTGAAGAGATAATACTGTGTCTTCAGCATTTCTGGTTTCCCCAGTGCTAATTTGTGAATAAAAGGACCTCTGTGCTCCCAACAGGATGGTCCCTAAATGCCTTAACAAAACATTTTCTTGTCATATAACAATACTGGCTTTTAAGAATTTATAGATATTAAAGATTTATGAGTCATTTTCTTACATAGTCTTACCCACACTTTCCTCATTCTATTAATCATACTAACCATTCACTCTGTGGATCAACCACTCTCTATAACACAGTAAAAGAAATGATGTTAGACTTTGCAAACCCCTTGCTGAAATTCTGGTACCGGTCTCAACAGTATTTCCTTGATCAGACTGTCTGGAGACACCATCAAACAAGAGGCAGTAAAGCTAATTTGACTGAGTATATTTTGTTCAAAATGTTTAGGAACAGTTTTGTTTCAGATTTTGTAATTTAAAAAAAATACTATTTTGGATCATGCCCACATGTGTGTAAACTATATGCTGAAAAAATATATAGAAAACCATTGCTATTACATTTGCTAGTCTAGTGTCAGGAACACAAGCTTAACCAGCTCGGTTCCTCATATGGTTAGCGTTTAAGGACGATGCCCCCTCAGATAAGATGAACCCAGTCAACCTGGTGACTGATTACAATACACTGGCACTGATGTCAGGATCTCCTAAGAGCATCTCTTTAATTTATCATCCTTCGGCCGAGATCTTGAACTAGTCTTTGATAATCCTCAGTAGTCTGTAATACTACACAATCCTAAACTTTAAATTTTTTTAAATGGAACTTCCAATTAGTTCTCTTTGATAAGTTTTTAGTTTTACCAGAGTTACCCACTTCCAGTCCTTGTACAATGTGCTTTTGCTGCCTCTGAGGCCCAGAATGAACTTTCTCACCAGTTTCCACACCTTCAACACTTTGATGTCGACACATACATATGAGATTTGTTTTAATTCTCTAGGTGGTTCATTTGGAAGTCAGTGTAATACACTAACTTGGTATAGTTCTGTGCTTGTTCATCTATTTGCTTGTTTGTTTTACAAATCATTTAGTCTCTCTGAACACAGCCACTATCATTCTCCAGATGCCCCTCTGGCCCATATTTGGCACAATCCTTCATGTTAATTACTGATTTGCAATGCTGATGAGTGAGAATTCTGCTTTAGCATGGAATTATCCCTGTTCTATCAGATAATAAAGGGCAGGAAGGGAGACAGTCTCTGTAAATGTCTACTTTGACTACCAGTCACAGGGGAGGGAGGGTAGGTGGATGTCAGGCCAGGAGAAAGTTTGGGGCAGACACTGACAGTCTGTCAGAATTCTCTCCGAGATTCATGCTCCTGACTCCCAGAGAGCCCAGGAAACCCACTACACATAGGATATTTTTTTTCAACTGTTCTTTAGCTGGGAAAAGCGCCTGTGGTTGTTGAGTAGTTGCCCAGGGTAGCTTGGCCACCCTGGAGAACCAAGAAAGAAGGACGGGGATGTTGGGGGTGTTTTCTGAGACTTGCAAGCAATCATTTGAATGCTAAGGGAAAACTGGGTTGTTATGCTCACAGTAAATTTCCTCAATTAGAAATGTTACAACAAATTTGTCTGATGTTAATGGAAAGCACACTATACACATACTCATAAAGCATCAAAGACATTGCAGAGGGCGCTCTTTGACATCATAATTGGGGTTTGAAACATAAAGAAAATAAAGAGTGTTTAATCAACTAAGTAAGCTTTAGGAAGTTTTCAAGCATGCTGACGGATAATGATGTATGACCTTTTTAATGGCCATAAACATTTCAATCCCTACTTGGATTTCAAGCCAATCTGATTCTCCAAGGGCTATGAAAAAAGTTGAGTTGACTTCTGGCTTGTTAATAAGATACTATATGCGAAGATATCATAGCATAGGTCCTAAGCATTATAGCGAAGAATATATAACTTGAGTCCACAGACTAATAGAATGGCTTCAGGGTCTACTGAAATTATACTAAAAATGTGTATAAATCCAGAAAAGGATTTATAGTTTTTTTCAGACATTCCAAAAAATCCTTGGCACAAAGCAAATCATAACTATGTCTTAGAAGCGGTCTGAGCTACCATACTCATCCACAGATAGTCACAGGAAGTAGATGAGTATTATTAAATGGGCTTTGCTGTGTTCAGGTTATACATTTTGGCCAACTTGACCTAAACGAACTTTATAAGTGCACATGCAGATGTGAACCTATTCTGTCTCCCATGGCTCGGAGAGTAGATGATATGACACTGCTGCATTTGTTACTAAGACACTCAAATGCTGACGGATGTATTCGACATGTTCTGTTGCATCTCTGGTTTTAGGCACATAGTGCTAGTAGAGACTATTTTAGAAACTGGAAGTGGTAAGCAGTTATGCAAAAGGTTACACCTGCTGAGATTTCCCAATTCCTATTGAAAAACGTCCTAGCAGCACAAGGTAGATAGAGCAGACAAGAGGTGCCAATATGAAAAATGAGGCTAGATGGAGCCATATGAATATAAATTATTGTTTAGATAAATCACTAAATGAAATGGTAAGTTATGAATAAATGTTAGGAATTATTACATGAGAATACATCCCCAGTTCACTCCAGGGGCTCTTGATTTCTTGTACACTAAGCAAGAATTGTACCACTGATCTACAGCCCTACAGCAACTCTCATCATTTGAGCTACAAAGAAATAGCTTTCTCCAGCATCATGTAATTATACAGACTAATTTATTCACTTCACATGTCTCAGAGCAAGACAGGTTCTGCAATCATCTGTCTGTCATTGAAGGGATAGGAAAGACAAGGATTCTTTGAAAAGAATTTTTTTTAAAATTTCATTATTTAATTCATTTTTTTAAAAAAACAAAAAAGGTCAAAGGGTGAAAAAAAGTCATCATATCAAATGGATCCTCAGGGCTTGACACAGGAAATGCTCAGTCATTATTGTGTAAATGGTCAATGGATTAAGATTCTCTAAGAAAAGACTATGTGTTCCTATAGAATGCTTTCCGGAAAAGAACTACTGTCAACACGTAACAAGTAGACAGATGTGTTCTCAGACTTTCTGATACTCACCTCAGCCGAGTTATGATACTGAATGAAGGTTGCAGAAATGGCATGGCTGAAAGGGTCCCCTGCCTTGGATACCATATCCTGCCTCACGAGAAGAGCCAGATCCACTACCTGAATAACAGAGTAACAAATATAAAGTGATATAACTGGAAATAATCATTAATGCCATAGAAGAGGCGATCAGTAACACACTCAGAACATTATTGATATTAATACTGTCTGCCATTCATTTGGAAGTGAGCACAACCTTTCATTGACTGGTGACTGGGCCAATCCACAATCACAAATGACAAGTTCGATTTTCTAAGGGAGTAGCTTTCAAATTTCATCTTTTTATCAACAATGGAGCATTTTAAATGGGGACTTCTGGACCATGAGCCCTGGGATTCCAGGCTAGTTTAGGGGTCTCCATTCTCAAAATGGGCTAGCAAGAGGCTGATCCTGTGCTCTAGTGATCATACTCACGGGGGACCACACCTGGAGGGCAATAGTCCTACACCTGCATGTCTCCAGAGAAAAAAGGGGTCACAGACTTTGACAGCCACTTATTTCAAAAATCAGAAACAAGCTTTTAAACAAATCTGTTGAGAATGTAAGACTTCAACATTGAGAAAAAGTGGTCATTCTATATATAGTTATAATAAAGTTGAAGGATCAGACATTTTAAATACATTTTTTGTTAAACTCATCAAGAATTTTATACATGCCAACAATGTATTTAACTCATATTCACCCCCAGCTCTTCTAGTTCTTCCCAGATCTACCCTACCCTCCTCTTCTGTTTTAATAACCCTAGTCCAATTTGTGCTGGCTTTATATGCCCGGGAATGGGGACACCCACTGGAGCATGGTTAACCTACCAAGGGATAGAACCTTAAAGAAAACTGGTTCTCTCTCCCTTAGAAGCCATCACTGTCAAAAGCTCCACAGGTAGGAGTGGGGCATGTGAGCTGGAATGTAGACTATATTAAGTTTGTGCAGGTCTAGAAACAGTATTCTTTTAAAAAGTCAAAATAACAACAACACAAAACAAAAATGTATAGCCCTGAGAAATAGCTATACAAAGAAACATAATTGAGCTAAATTATAGAATACGATGCATTTCAAAAAGAAATTTATGCTCTTCTCATTCCAACTAGAGTAGCAGGTGGAATAAATAACTGACCATGGACCCAGGGAGGAGAAATCAGCAGGAGCAGTTGATTGACAGCTCAGACTCTTACCTGTGCCACTGTTTCATAGGCTAAGTATGCCAAAATTTCCATAGCTATGACATTGGGCTTTATCTCCATGCTGCCACAGTCCAACCAGTCTCGAAATTTGGAAGCTTTTTTGGCTATTAATTAAAAAGAAGAGAAATGTTTTACTTTTTAACATGTTATAATCTTCATATGATTATAAGAAATTGGAAATATTTCTCCTGAAACTACATAGAAGAAATAACACCCATAGAAACAATATTTGGGAAGTTCTCTTAATGTCTAAATTTTTTTTTCTTAAGAAATCCACGTTGGAACCCTTGGTTAAGAAGCAATATCATGGTTTTATTCTACAAATTCCTCATGCACTGGATCTTTTATCTCTCTGTGGTGGATGCCATGGGACATCACACACTATAACCTCAGCTCTCTATGGTGGATGGCACGATACACCATACCTTTTCACCCTTGTATTTCTCACAGAGCTCTAGAGTATGTTACCATTGGCCAGAGTTTTAATTATTATCATAGAAAAGCTGCTTTCTCCATACAACTTAGTTCTTATGGAAATAAAATTCTGGAAGAAGTTGTGATGAAGGAATACAGAGAAAGAAATTACATCTCCAATTCTCAAAATGTACCTGCTACTAAAATAGGCTCAAAATTGTGAATTGAGAATTAAATAAAGCAATGCTGGCCTGAGATAACCTGTAATTATTATGTCTTTGCTGACTATGGAGATGTTAGAATTCTTAGGCCTGACTCTCCAAATCAGACTTACTGCAACCTGCCCTTACCACCATGGAACTGAGCTGTCCTTGAGTCTCGTCTCAGTGCTCCTGTCTGCTCTCCCCTCACCCTTCTTCATCCACACAATTCTGACCACCCATGCCGAAGGTAGACGGCTTACATCATTTATGGAAACAACTACAAATATTTCCTATGTGCATAGATTTCTCAGACCTTGGTTCTTTGTTGGTAGAGAATAAGCCCGAAGCTCCTGGATACCTAATTGTATCATGTAGATATAGAACCAAGCAGCACACACCTTTAATTAAATACCTGTAATTGGCTGAGCGGGGGCACACCTTTAATCCCAGCACTCGGGAGGCAGAGGTAGGAAGATCTCTAAGTTTGCGGCCAGCCTGGAGTACAGGCAAACTCCAGGACAGCCAAGGTTGCACAGAGAAACCTTGTCTCAAAAAAAAAAAAAAAAAGCAAAACCAAAAACCCAAACAAACAAAACAAA